TTTGCCTCATGTGAAGTGCTTGCTTCACCCTCCATTATACTATTTAAATTATTATTATATTGTCCTACTTCAATTTATATCTACCTATTAGTTTTTAAATCAAAATAATTCTATCTAATATTTATGTGCTATCTAAAAATTTAAATACGAGACTTCGCTATTTTAAAAACCCCTAAATTTACCTAATTTATTATTAAAATATTATTTTATAACTCACGAGTATTTATTGAACTAGAATGGAGGATAAGAACCAAAGCAAACTTCAACTCGAGGACAAACGACAGCAGAAAACCACAGAAAACACTTTTAACTTTATATTTTCGTCTTTTGTTTACAAGCAACTAATTTAAATTCAGATCTTTTCGCGCCAAAACTACTTCAAAACATTTTTTCATGGCTATGGCTGGCAATGACACAATCGAACAAAAATTTTGGCTAACGTACGCCATTTTCATGAAGTAAAATATGGCACTTTTGAAGCTATAGGAGCAAAATAAACTTGAAATCCAATGAGAATAACTATCGGTTGAGCTTATTCTTAAAAAAAAATTAGCCGATCGCAAGTAGAAAAGCTAACTCACCAGTTTTTGTTGATGCGATGAGGTTTTCACGAGCGAATTTTGTGCAAGCGTGCGTACAACTGGTCGTCTTCACAACAAAATTTCTTCGCTACTTATGCGCCGAATTTCTTGAAATTTTCTAAATGAGCACTGCCAAACACCCTCGCTATTTTCCACACAAAAGTTTTATCAATCCATGCTGAATAAAGCCAAAAATCGCCCTTGCTTCCTTCCAAACGAAATCGCTCGTTCGTGCGACAGCCATTTCGTTCGAAAGCAACCTACAGACTCCTACCGTCATGCATAGCGGGAAGAGCTATTACGCAAGTGGTCAAATTGAACTTCATCGAATAGGATTAGGTCAAATAAAGAACAATAGCTTTCGACAAATGATGCGGTGGTCTAGTGGTTAAGACGGTCGTTTCTCAATCCGAAGACAAAGGTATCAACTCCGGGCAATGCAAAAATATTAGCGTGAAAAATTTCGGTTTGGTTTGGAAGCTTTAAAAGCATTTAAAGACTCCTGGGCCTTTGGGAAAATACCGTAAATTGAAAAAAAATTGAAATAAAAAAAACTGAAATAAATTTCTCGCGTTCAAAAGTACCTGAAAATTGAGAAAAAGCACAAGTAAAAAAGTTTTAAAATCATGTGTCTCCTAAAAAGGCTTAAAAGTTTAAAAATTTCCCGCTTTTAAAAAACTCATGTTTACTTACCTTACCATATTTTTTTTCACGAAAATTTGACAGGGTGATTTTCACGAGATTGAAAAAATTTACATTTTTTTACTTTTTTGAAATTCTCTTAGATATTTTTTTTTATCAAGAAGTATTATGTCTTGGGCTACCTGTGTCAAGCCAGACACAGGTAGCCCAAGACAGACACAGGTAGCCCAAGACATAATACTTCGTCTAAAAAAATTTTCGGAGAATTTTGAAAAAAAACTTTTTGAGGACGAAAATTTTTTTTTAGATGAAGTATTATGTCTTGGGCTACCTGTGTCTGTCTTGGGCTACCTGTGTCTGGCTTGACACAGGTAGCCCAAGACATAATACTTCTTGATAAAAAAAAATATCTAAGAGAATTTCAAAAAAGTAAAAAAATGTAAATTTTTTCAATCTCGTGAAAATCACCCTGTCAAATTTTCGTGAAAAAAAATATGGTAAGGTAAGTAAACATGAGTTTTTTAAAAGCGGGAAATTTTTAAACTTTTAAGCCTTTTTAGGAGACACATGATTTTAAAACTTTTTTACTTGTGCTTTTTCTCAATTTTCAGGTACTTTTGAACGCGAGAAATTTATTTCAGTTTTTTTTATTTCAATTTTTTTTCAATTTACGGTATTTTCCCAAAGGCCCAGGAGTCTTTAAATGCTTTTAAAGCTTCCAAACCAAACCGAAATTTTTCACGCTAATATTTTTGCATTGCCCGGAGTTGATACCTTTGTCTTCGGATTGAGAAACGACCGTCTTAACCACTAGACCACCGCATCATTTGTCGAAAGCTATTGTTCTTTATTTGACCTAATCCTATTCGATGAAGTTTAAATTAAAGAATAATTTTAGTGGGGAAAATCGAACCTTTCCAATGCAAGATTTGAACCTAAGCTTTCAACCTGGAAGGCCGTAGCCTTAACCACTGCGCCACGGCATCATTTATATAACGCTTTTGTTCTTTTTTTTTAACTTAATCCTATTCGCAGAATTTAAAATTAAATAGCAATTTAGAAGGGAAAAATTGCACTTCTCCCTTCGAGGATTCGAACCTACGCTCACAACCTAGTAGGGCGGTAGCCTTAACCACTTGGCCACCGCGTCTTGTATTGATACTAAAAATAAAATAGTACACTTTAGGACTTGAAGGCAAAATTGACGACTTTTTCAATGTTCCAAAAACCAACCAAATATGCCCTAAAATGGGTAAGGGGTAAGCCTTACCATTTTGGTCAATTTTGACGACTTTTTCAATATTCCAAAAACCAACCAAATATGATCTTAAATGAAAGATATTAGTCTTAGGAAGCTATTTTTAGCATTTTAAGACAATTTTTGAACACCTTAAAAAGCTGTCAAAATTGACAAAAATGTTAAGGGGTAAACCTTACCTTTTTTTGTCAATATTGACGACTTTTTCAATGTTCTAAACCAACCAAATATGCTCTAAAATGAAAGATATTAGTCCTAGGAAGCAATTTTTAGCATTTTAAGACAATTTTTGAACAGTTGAAAAAGTTGCCAAAATGGACCAAAATGGTTAGGGGTAAGCCTTACCATTTTGGTCATAATTGACGACTTTTTCAATGTTACAAAAACCAACCAAATATGTATATAAATAAGCCTTACCATTTTGGTCAAAATTGCCGACTTTTTCAATGTTCCAAAAACAAACCAAATATGTTCTAAAATGAAAGACATTAGTCTTAGGCAGCCATCTTTAGCATTTTAATACAGTTTTTGAACAATTGAAAAAGTCGTCAAAATTGACCAAAATGGTTAGGGGTAAGCCTTACCATTTTGGTAAAAATGACGCCTTTTTCAATGTTCCAAAAACCAACCAAATATGCTCTAAAATGAAAGATATTAGTCCTAGAAAGCCATTTTTAGCATTTTAAGACACTTTTTGAACAGTTGAAAAAGTCGTCAAAATTGACCAAAATGGTTAGGGGTAAGCCTTACCATTTTAGTCAAAATTTACGACTTTTTCAATGTTCCAAAAACCAACCAAATATGCTCTAAAATGAAAGATATTAATCTTAGGAAGCCATTTTTAGCATTTTAATACACTCTTTGAACATTTGAAAAAGTTGTCAAAATGGTTCCAAAAGCCAACGAAATATGCTCTAAAATGAAAGATATTAGTCCTAGGAATCCATTTTTAGCATTTTAAGACAATTTTTGAACAGTTAAAAAAATTGTCAAATTGGACCAAAATGGTTAGGGGTAAGCCTTATCAATTTTGGTCAAAATTGACACTTTTTCAATCTTTCAAAAACCAACTAAACATGTTTTAAAATGAAAGATATTAGTCCTAGGAAGCCATTTTTAACATTTTAAAACAATTTTTGAACATTTGAAAAAGTTGTCAAAATTGACCAAAATGCTAGGGGTAAGCCTTACCATTTTGGTCAAAATTGACGACTTTTTCAATGTTCCAAAAACCAAGCAAATATGCTCTAAAATGAAAGATATTAGTCATAGCAAGCCATTTTTAGCGTTTTAAGACAATTTTTGAACAGTTGAAAAAGTCGTCAAAATTGACCAAAATGGTTAGGGGTAAGCCTTACCATTTTGGTCAAAACTAACGACTTTCTCAATGTTCCAAAAACCAACTAAATATGCTGAAAAACCAAACAGATTAGTCCTAGAAAACATTTAAAGACATTTTTAGCATAAGTAATTTAGCTTGTAGGTACACCACGTAAGTATTTAATGCTGCAACTGAAGCTTTCGGTCCGTTAACCCGGGCCTTCATACACAATAATGTGTATTGAGGTAATTGCACTGATGAAGGCCCGGGTAAACAGACCGAAAGCTTTGCAGTATTAAATACTTACGAGGTGTACCTACAAGCTAAATTACTTATCGATTGTCACCATGCAAACATACAACAATATTATTTTTAGGATTTTAACACAGTTTCAAAACATTTTGAAAAGTAGTCAATTTTCGCAAAAATAATAAGAAGCAAGGCGTTATACTATTTTGGTCAAAAATGACGACTATTTCGAATCGAAATTTTCGATGTTTCCAAAACCAACCAAATGTGCTCAAAAACCAAAGAGATTAGTCTTAAGAAGCCATATTTAGTATGTTAATTAACTGCACAGTTTTAGAAAATTTTAAAAAGTTGTCAATTTTCGCAAAAATGGTAAAGGGGGAAAGCCTTACCATTTTGGTCCAAATTAACGACTTTTTCAATGTTCCAAAAGCCAACTAAATATATGCTCAAAAACCAAACAGATTAGTCCTAGGAAACATTTAAAGATATTTTTAGCATAAGTAATTTAGCTTGTAGGTACACCACGTAAGTATTTAATACCGCAAAGCTTTCGGTCGGTTAACTCGGGCCTTCATCAGCGGTGCAATTATCTGAATACACAATAATATGGGGTAAGCCTTACCATTTTAACAAAAAATAAAGACTTTTTCAATGTTCCAAAAAAAAACTAAATATGCTCAAAAAGCCAAAGAAATTAGTCTTAGTGAATATCTAAAGATATTTTTAGCATGTTAACGCATTTTAAAAAAATTTTAAAAGTCGTTAATTTTGGCGAAAAAACATGATTTTTTCTATATATTAAATATGCTCAAAAAGCCAAAGAAATTAGTCTTAGTGAATATCTAAAGATATTTTTAGCATGTTAACGCATTTTAAAAAAATTTTAAAAGTCGTTAATTTTGGCGAAAAAACATGATTTTTTCTATGTAATAATGATATCGTTTCCTTTAAATGGTATTTGAGATAATATATTAATTAAAATATATTTGTAATCATTAATTAAAAATTATTTGAAATCTGCATGGCGAAAAAGGAACTTTCAAAACCACATTCTACAAAACAAAAGTTATAGCGTCTGCTCTTTCTCATGCAATTGGACATTTAAATCGTAGGTAATTTCAAAATACACGAATCTGATCGGCCAATTCTGTTTACTAATTTTGGGTAAAAGTTAACTACCTTTTTATACATCCGGCCCCAGGTAATTGGAGATTATTTAAATACTTAATTGTTCTGTAGGTAGGAACGTGCCGCTAATTAAGACATAAATTAGTTGATCAATTTGATACACGCACATGCCTAAACTGCAGGAAATATGGTTTGGGTTTTTTTCGGCGGGCTGATGCTATGAATGATGGTAGCGTTGGCAAATCTTGAGAGCTAATATATAGAGGGTATATACTCATTGAGGGGGAGTGGCATTATTTGGAGGCTTATGGTGCATTTGCAGGTGCCAGTTGTATGAACAGTAGTTAACTTCATCCCAGCTCAATAGTATATCACAGTAGATTAAGGTAATGTTACACAAAACAACTTTCAACATCAACTCGATCGCAACGCAACAATAATCTAAACAGTAATGTTGTGTGGAATAAAAACAGTTCATAAACTTTCAACTTGTTTCCAAAACAATTTCTACGTTACAAATTAGTTCATGTATATTATATTCGACGCGTAAACCTTTTTCAAAACGTTGTTGCGTTGCGAGTTGATCCTTTAAGAACCGAGTTTTGTGACAATAGCTTTAATAGCAAAGATGGTTGAGACAACTGCAGCCAGTAGGCCTACTACAATAGTTTCATATAAAAAAACTTTGAAATGTAGAGATATGTCATTTTGGAGCTTCAGGTAAATCAAGCATGGAAAAACAAAGGTCAACAGCATAGTAGTTGATGAACCAACAAGATCTAAGAACAGGCCAAAGTGTGGTATGCCTTGAGCCAAGCCATGGATGCAGCACACAAGAAATGTACGAACCAAACAGCTTTTCACTGTCACTTTGCCTACAGTAGTGATTCACAAATACAATGAGTGTAGGTAACTAGGTATCATTTACATAGATTAAATGCCTGTATTTTCACTTTCCTTGTCATAGAATTCTACATACTTGGTATATATCATGAGAATATTATGTGGTAAAGGTATGGCATGCAAAGCATTATTCTGTTAAACAATTGCTTGATCAGTCACTGGTCACTAGTATATTTAGTCTATTTAGTATATTTAGTCTATCATTAAGGCATAATCACAAATATTAGGAATCAATGCCATAATTTATCAAAAATTTGTTGCTTGTCCTTGATTACAAAAACTAATCTTAGAACATAACCAATAGGTTATAAAAAGAAGTCTTAAATTTTCAAGGCATCAACAAAATATGCAGTAAAAGGCCAATCTATGCAAGTTATGGTTTGTTGACACGGCATATACTGATACTGATATAAGCACAGCATTCATAGAAAGCCAGCTTCAGGAAACCAGGCCATATATGTTTTATGCGAAACAAGGTTACATTTATAGACACTATCTTATATTCTAAACACTTACCTTTAGGCACATTTAACCATTCCTCCATCTGTTGTGATACAGGATTAATAACAATGATAAAACTAAAGAGCAGATGTGATGCAATCATTGCCGAAACACATTTTGTAACAGGAGATGTTGATGAGAGATTCATGAGAATGTTGGTATTCACATCTTCACCATAGGCAAGATAACCCAGGAAGGATACAGGAAGGTATAATGCAAGGACAGCAGAGTACCCCATTACGACTGAATTGGAAAATAATCTTGGTTGTTTCATGTCACATTGAATTGTAGGAAATGCAGCATTACCACCAAAAGAGAATGCTATTGCACCAAATGCTAAATAGAGAAAACTATATAACTATTTCTCTCCATTCTAGCTCCAATATACAAATTTCAGAATTGGATGCTTTAGATTACCTGAGAAAAATGAACTAGTAGTAACAGCCCTATCTTTTGCAACACCATCAAAATCCACTCCAACTTTTATGATAATTAACAAACATGCAATGGATGTTGCTATAATTGCAATCAATGCCACAGGCCAGAAGTTCTTGGGTGTTCCTAGCCATGTCAAGGGCAATAGGAATGATGTACAAATTACTAGCCAGATTCTGTATTCATTTTTTTCAGACATAGTTGTAATATTTAGATCAATCAAACTGCTCAAATTCTCTGAGGCCAACAAAACAAATACCGTACAAGCTCCTAAAAAGGAATTTAAAGTAGATGTTGTAATGTTTCTGTTGTCACATGGCTACTAGCTAAATATTTTCAACAAAATGGAAATTTGGCCACCTGCATGCAAGTGATGTGCCAACCAGTACAGTTGACAACAACAGATAAGAACCAAACTTCAGCATTAACCATTAAATTAAATTTTGCTTCATAACCAATTTACAATAACCTAAAAGAACTGAATAACAATGGTACGTTGTAATTTCGGTTGTGATACATCTTTGTGATGTCTAGTCTCAAACATTCCTCTTCAATTAATTTCACATTTGTACAAGGTGGCATATAAATCTCACACTTCATAGCTCTAGTGACTCACCTATCAAAGTCGCGTTGATACAGAACTGCACCACATATTTTCCAGCCTTGCCGTAAGTATGGAAACCCAATGCAGGGTAAGGGTATCTGACATGCTCTTGGTATTCACGAAAATCACGCCTTAGTATTACCCAGGATTTTCCAAGGACTATTCCACACGTTGCAGATAATAATCCCAATGTTAAGATCAAAATCATTCCAGTCCAGCCGGTATTCGCTACAGCATTAGGCAATGCTAGTACACCCGAGCCTGCCATCTCGCCAGTAATAAACAAAGCAGCAGTGAATGCTGTTAGCCCATGGATCAAACCAGGATCACCTTTATTTACGACAAAAATTTCAGGATCATTTTCTGCATTGGAAGTTGGTGTGTATAAATGTTCATTTTCTCTGTCAGACATCGTTTCGGTTACTCCTGGTTTTGAAACAGGTATTTAGCAGTATTACATGGAAAATTCACCCACTTGCGATTTACAAGAGATGCGTGGTCCAGCACATCTGTAGACATCTGGTGTGTCACGAGATTGAAAACGTCGAGAATGCTCTCGAACTAGACGTTACCACTGCACAGGAATGCTACTCAGTTCTGCCAGGGCGCAGGTCCTGCTCAGCCAATCGACGCAGCCGATCACTGATTGTTAATTTAACTTTGAGTACACCCGAAAAATCTCTCACATCTTGCAAACATATACACGGTGGCGCCGCCAGCAATATTCTGGGAAAGGAGCAGGATGAATTGAATTTCCACTCTCTAGCTTTAGTACCCACTCTCTGCCTAGGGGTGGATCCAGCACCAGTGCACTAATTTGCATGACACAAATAACTGCTAAAAATAACCGCTTTGTTTTGTAATGCAAATTAGTGCGCTAGTGCTGGATCCATCCTGCCCGGCACCACTGCATATACAAGCTATAGCTGGTAACCCGTTTTCGCTGGTATTGCTTGTCTGTGCAGGTGTTGGGACAACTTTTTAGACCATCAAAATTGTTTCAAGATTGCTCGAAGTCCGTTACATGCACGATGTAATTGTGTTATAATCTTTTATGGTTGTATTGTCCTATCATGGTCGGACAAGAGTTTCTTTAGTTTCTTTCAAATGATTGCACCTTTCAACTCTTGAATTGACACTGAACCACAAACCTCTGAGGAGGTCTGCATGTGGAACGGCAAAGTTGCCACTCTGTCACGAGAAAATCCGTAGATCCAGGGAACAATTATGCTGTTCGAACCAACGATTACGACAATAATGGACCTTTTCAGCTTGTATGCAAATTACCCCATTTCAAATCACATGGTCTGAAATAATTCGGCTTTATTAGCTATTCTATGGTCACATCGTCTGAAATGGGTTAATTTGCATACAAGCTGAAATGTGTATTCAATACCAGAAAACCTGAATGAAAAAAAACGGCAAGGAAAACACCTAAATAATGCTGTGAAATTTCAACGCAGCGAAATCCTCTCTTTCATGTCTATCTTTCACATCAATTTGCTGTTCCTGCTGCATGCATTCTAGTAAGATACACTCTCGATGCCATTGTTTCCGCAATAGGGTCAACCGTTAACCCTCCTTGGATTATGCAGGACCCGTTCACAAATTCTCTTTTTGTGATCGATATGATGGAAACGTGTATAGACACAATCATTGCATGTGTGAACGGGCCTTAAAGACTACGGAATATCTAAAGTATATATTCTGCTCTGTCTATCGTTTACACTACACTCGATTTATTGGCACGGCACAGCTAAAATGGGTACCCGTGCCCATTTCATCTGTTCTCGGCCTTTGTTTTGGTAGCCTGAACACTGAAAAATTGGGCACGGGTACCAAATTTAGCGTGCCGATAAATTCAGTGTAGTGTAAACGGGGCTAATACTTGACCGCTTAACGCTCGTGGATGACCAACCAGTAGGCATCCCAATAGAGGTAGTCCCCAAATAAAAAAGTGATAGAAATTAATACTGATCGGATTATTCCACCTAGATCAATGACTTCGATTGATAATACCAAATTCTGGCACCTACGAGTCAATACAAATAATTAAACATTCATGATTCATCAAATGTTGTTGAAAAAACTTGGTTTTTCAGATTTGCTTTTTTATCTCTCCACTTAAAACTTGAAATATGACACTGTATACCCTTCGCAAACGAGTTAAGGCATGAATATAAAGTGCACACTTCCTGAATGCAAAATGGCGCAATCCAAACTGATTCTTGCTGTGATTTTGACCACTGTGGTTCTGTTTGTCGGAGGATTTTTACTCGGATATTTCATAAAGCCAGATAGCGATGACGAGACAAAATCAAAAACGACGGAGAAATCTCGTTTTAAATCTCACGAAAAGTTGTATGATTTGCTTGACGCCGACAAAATACGGGAATATTTAAGGTGCGCCCAACCGATTTGTATTAGCCATAAACATGGTCGATGATAGCGTGCAAAGTCTGCGTTGCAGGCTAGGTCGATGATCGTCAACGTGCAGTTATGAACTCAAATATATAATTGTGTTTTTCATTTATGATATTGTCAGTTTATATAGGGATTTACATAGATTTACTTTGCTTAGCATTGCTTCGACAGAATCGCCACATCACCAGATGCAAATGAGCGCAAAAATATATTGGCATCTCCGACTCATCGTCACCATTTTTACAACGCTATACAGTATATACCATTTTAGGAAAGCAAATAATCGCAAAAGACTATAGGAGTCTAGGCATTGTATACAGGGTAAATACCGCTAACGGGAATACATCCATTTATAGACTATTGCACTACTGCTGTACTGCATGAGAATCAATATGGTTTGTCATTACATGCATGTACATTCATTAGCACCGGCTAACAATCATAGTCATAGTCATATCCCACTCCTACTCGAGCCGTTCTCGAACGAGTATGCTCTCCACTTCAACCGTATCGTAACGTAACGTAGCGTATTTCTTTGTTTCCGAAGTATTCGACCAGAACTATTGAATTTAAAACAATGAGATACGCTACGTTTCGCTACGATACGGTTGAAGTGGAAAACGGCCTTAAGGCCTGTTTTCCACTTCAACCGTATCGTAGCGTAACGTAGCGTATTTCTTTGTTTCCGACGAATTCGACCAGAACTAATGACTTTAAAACAATGAGATACGCTACGTTTTTCTACGATGCGGTTGAAGTGGAAAACGGCCTTAATGCTCTCAGAGATAAGTATTACTTTCCGGAAACGCATCGGATTATCACTGTTATAGCCATTGAAATATCATCGAGTTGTTGATTGATGTAGTCAATGTTGTCCTTTGTAAAATTCGTTTTTTTTTCAATTTCTCAAGTATTCCCGATTTTTATCAAAATTGCTCAAGAATACGTCGTTTCACTAGAAACGTCTGGCATTTATATACCTATTCATATACCATTCATAACACAGTCTTTTTCTTCGCACCACACGTATCCGGAGATTTTTATAAAAACTGAGGTTTTTTTATCCGTTTTGGCCTTGCGTCCACACGTAACCGGCAACCGAAAACGGAGGTTTTCAAAATATTGTATAATAAATATAATATATTTCAAATCTAATAGCATGCATTCAGCTTCATGTTACTAGCTAAACCTACACGGAGAGTATTTAAAAGCGAACGAATATGATGAAGTTGCTTCCCGTGTCACCAGCTAGACAACGAAGATTTTGATTATTTAGTCATTTTAATTCAAGAAAGAGCGAGCATAAAGCGAACCCAAATTGCCATTTTATTGCCATTCGAGCCCTGCGATTGTTTCGAAGCGCTCATATTATATTACTTGGAAATGCGCATGCTCTACGCCTGGCGCTATCAAATTTCCTTCGCGCTTTTGCGTTTACGTGTGGACGGGCAAAAACGATTCGAATACGCGTCGTGTGGACGGGAATTTTTTTAAAAACGGAGAAAAAAGGATATTAATGCTATCGTTATTTTGCAGAGAGTACACAGACAAGCCACACGTTGCGGGTTCCAAGATTCAACTGGAATATGGTCGAAAAATAGTCACTGAATGGGACACATTTGAAGGTTTTGACAAAGTCGAAACATTCCCCTATAATGTTTTATTATCCTATCTTGAAGACGGGGAAACAAATGTTGTAACGGCGTTTGACTCTACTGGTGCTAAACTCCACGAATTTAAAGGAAAGGAGAAGGTATGTAAGTGCTTATAAACCCTATAACACGGAAAGAAAATTCAGGAGAAATCTATTTTTATCAATTATAATGGTTGCAAGACGTGAACAGATTTAGCCAGTCTTTCATTTTGTTAATCCCGGAGCCGGTGCGAAGCACCGGGCGAAGGTACTAATTCCGCGCGGACATTTTAATTACGCCCGGGAATGCAGACGCGAAATCAAAATGAGTCAAAGTTGTCCGCCATTATGTCATGGACGTTGGGCGTTTTTGTAAGTTATGCACATGCGTGAGTTTAAGACGAGTTAAAACTGGTAATTAGCAAACGTTTGCAAACATGCGATTGCCTAAATTAAAACTTGGGTTCACGTCAGCATAATTGATATTTTGAATTAGAAAACTTTTTTTTAAATAATATTATTCATTTGGAAGGTCTTGAAAATATACAAAAAATTGACTTGTAAAATTGATTTGAAGCATGCCAGTATTTTGTTTAATTTATGGATTTATCAAAAAATGTGTGATGTGACACCTCTTTGAATTTATTCGTCAATTTCGTTAAAATTATTTTGAGTTAAAGGTGAATCTGTTTAAAAAGTAATTGAAATTTCGTTAAAAATTGTAGTTAAAAACTATTCGTAGCATAATTATGATTATAGTTGAATTTGTTGCTCGAGAGACGCCTTTATAATTGTACTTGATATAGGATTTTACCTTTGCGACTTCAATCATTCAGCAGAAACGAGTGTTATATAATTTCAGTGATGGAAATATATGTTTATTGCTTCATGCGAGGGGATTTTGCATGCATGTATTTCTAGTACTCATAGGAAGGGTGTTTTTGAGTGCTGTTAGACAGCGCGGAAACTGGGCTTGACTTTTGAACACGATGTGAGCTGTAAAAGACAAACATTTCTGCAAAATTTCATGAATGTTTTTAACAAAAAAAAGTAATCAGGTGTGATTATTCATGCAGTCTCTGGTATACATTCCCCACCGGCAGTATTATACATTCCCGTCCGTGTGATCTTATTCTAGCTTGATCACGGAGCTATAGGAGTACTTTTTTCGAAATAACCTGTATATAAAAAAAGGAGATTACCCCTTTTTTGCTACATCATGTATAGCGTATTGCTGCTCTAATTTCAGATTTTAGAACCTGGTGAAAATGATACAGCGGTAATCCCACCTATCCTCGGTTACGCCAAGCCTGGCCGGGCGACTGGAAAACTAATGTACGCCAACTACGGGAGAAAGGAAGATTTTGATCGCATCTACAATATGACTACAAACTGTTTTGGGTATATTGTCATCATGAGATATGGAAAAATATATCGTGGAAATAAGGTAATTAAATACCGTGTCCATATAATCGCCGTTGTCTATATAGGGTGTATCTGACTAGAAAATGAGACTTCATTAAATGTTGTTATTATTTTAATGTTTCAAAGTCATAATCTATATTATGTTTATTTAATAGTTCTTATTTCTTCAAATTAGTTAGACAATGCATGATGACTATGATGGACCATTCCAAATCTTTAGTTTTATTGCCTTAATTTTAAGCATCTTTACAACGGTTAAAAACCCACTATCCGCGGTATCCGGCCTAAAAAAGGCGTTAGGTTTAATTCCTGCATGCCGAAGGACTTTGTAGGTGAAGATTTTTTCCTCACGAAGTTACGAATACAGAGACTTCTTCGATGCTCTATCGATCTATTTGTGATTATCCATGCAATCCTTGTTTTCGGGTAAGGAGCTGTGCTTCAGTGTCCTCACATCAGTGTCCTTTTTACCTTAGATCAACATGGCAGCCGAGTGTGGAGCGGAAGGCGCAATACTCTATAATGATCCAGAAGATTCCGCGCCCGAGGGGGAGAACAAAACCTACCCTAAAACATGGTGGCTCCCCCCATCCGGAGTACAAAGAGGTAACCTACGGACGGTCAAGGGTGATCCACTCACTCCTGATGTTCCTGCAATAGATGGGATTCTACGCATGGAAGTCGAAGATGTATTCATGCCTGCTATTCCTGCTACCCCTCTTCCCTATGGTCAGGCCAAGAAATTACTAAAGTTAATGAAAGGTTGGTCATATTATGATTTATTATTATAATTTATTATTATTTATAGGTATAGGTGCTTTGTAAACGAAGTCTTATACTAGCTATTAAAACGTATAAACTGAAGATTGCTAATTCATAACTATCCACTCATTTGCATTCATGAAAAAAACTACCGAAAATCACAACAAAAATTGCAGGTGTTCCTTACGCAAAGAACAGCGAAGAATTCGGAAATGTATGCCGTACCTTTGTGATATAATTTTGAGGATGTATTAAGTCTCGGCCATGCACCCAGCCACTAGACTCAACAACATGCTTCAAACGCAGGACTGATGAACGTTCTGCTACAGAAAGACTGAACAAATTTGAATAAAAAACCCGTTAACAAATTTAAAAACGTTCCTTTTGAGTTAACTCAGTGCACCGACGAAGTTTATGTGAATTATGTCATGCAAAAGCGTCGAAAAGATGTTTATTTTTCTACACTCCCAAAGAAAATTGATGAACACCTTGCATTTGTAAGCAAATGCTTGATTATATAGACTGTCTGTATTTTTAACACGTCCCATTTATCACGAAAAAGGTAGAAAGGCGTCGATTAGTAGTCAACCAATAATCGTAGTGGGAAAAAATGTTCGTCATTTGATAGACTGAAATCAATAATACATATTCCCTAAATCAGCCAGTGCTGTACGTGATGTGTTATTGCAGTACGCCGTGAAGTACGTCATGTGTTATCGGAGTGCATACAGTGTATTTCCTCAGGGCATCATAGATTTTAACAAAGCATTTTAACATATAGATTTTGACACGACATTATAGGAAAGAGATTAACCAGGGGGCGGTTGTTCGAAAGGCGTTTAGCTTAAACGGTGGATAAGCCAAAATTTAAAAATACTCTTATAGATCTTGTGAATGACTGAAGCCCCGTTTACACTACACTCGATTTTCTGGTACGGCACGGCTAAAATGGTACCCGTGCCCATTTCATCTGCGCTCGGCCTTTGTTTTGGTAGCCTGAACACTAATAAAGTGGGCATGTGTACCATTTTTAGAAATATTTCAGCTGAGTTGTTCAATAAATACATAATTTTGTATTCCATTTTGAACTTATCCACCGTTTAAGGTAAACGCCTTTCGAACAACCGGCCCCAGGGCCGAAACTAGGAACGATAATTGGGGGGTGCATGTTTACTCATATATATATTCAGTTCTGCACCCATGATGACGGATTTCGTTAAGAAGGGCTCTGGGTACGAGAATGGAACTTCAGATGCGGCGCTTAATCGAGGGCGGGCGCGCTTTAAAAAATATTATTTGTGAATTGTAACAAGAACTTTAAACAAAAAGAATTGAAAGTTAGATGTAGCCAAATGTCCCCATTTTGACGGCGAGCATTTGGACATTTTACAGAAAACAAACCTCCTCGCACAAATCACTGGAATCTCTGCCTTTACGACTGACCTGCGCCTTACGAAAATTCTAAAGACCGATTTAGAAATAGCGTCTTCAACAATTCCGACGGTGCGTCGTTTAAGCACCGAATTTGAAAATAATTAGTGCGGCGCTCATTCGGGGGCGGCGCTCTTTACGAAAAATTTATCGCAAATGCGGCGCTCATTCGGGGGCGGCGCTCAATCGAGTAAATACGGTAACCGGCTGTTATAAAAGTGTGGCTGCCTGATCAAAAATATAACATAGCTTCATGTTAACTGATGCACACGTTTTACCCCTTTAAAAAAGTCAGCTTATTCAGCCTCAAAGCCAAAGGTAGATTGAGCTCAGCAAAAATGGATGGACACATTTTAATGAACGTGATAATGTTATGTTGTATAAACAGCATCTTCATTCTCGTTGGATCGGTACTCAACGCTGTTGTTGTTCTATGTTTTTGGAATTCAAGTCATCTTAGCAAGAAGCCCTGCTACTTCATGATCATGGTTTTATCCATTTTTGATCTATCGTGTGTCGTTTTTATCCATCCTCGGATATTACTTTCGACCATCGCTTATTATTTAAAGAACGACAGTGTCAAACTGCATCTGGACAAATTAGCAAATATCACTCCAATTTTATATATTTTATCGTTCTACGCCTTACTCACTTTGACTATCGAACGATATGTTGCTGTAAGATATCCACTATATCACATGGTGTCCATGACAAGAACTAAACTTATTCTTCTGTTTTCGACCTTCTTGCTTCTGGTAACAATTCTAAAAATATTATCAGTTGCAGGACTATTACCTCAACAACTGCCATCATCGATGACTTTTCTAGTTCTTCTAACGGTGATGGTCCCGACAAACTGCAGAATGTATATGATTGCAAAACGAACAGTTAAGAGGAACAGGGAAAGGTTTGCAGGGCAAAAAATGCAAGATAAACGACAAAAATCGAAGAAAAGCTATAAATTGCAGGATAAATGTAAAATAACAAACAAGATAAATAATAAGCTAAGTTTGAAAAGCATTTCCCCTTGTATTCTGTCTGTCGCTTCGTTTACCGTATGCTCTTTACCGGGTATGATATTCAATGTACTGAATTTATTCATGGGAAAGGAATGGGTCAATGAAGATGGATATAAATCAGTCTTGTTGTGGATAAGTACTTTCATGGCTATGAATTCAAGTTTCAACACGATGGTCTTTTTCTGGAAGAACGCGATCTTGCGAAAGGAGGGGAAAAAGGTTTTGAGAATATTTCGATAGAACAGAAATCAAGATGTCCTTGGAGTATTAAGGACTGACGCCTGACGGTATTTTAGAAAAAGAACATTGTTTACAGCGTGTTCTTGCTATATAAAAGACATTTAATTGTGACATTTCTTTAGTGCACTCTATATATAGCTAGCTTTATTTATAAACGTATATATATATAATTGAGAAATATTCAAATTTCACCTATAAACTGATGTTTAATTTGGAAATGTCAAAATGGTCATATCAATATTTGCACACCGGCATGCATTAATTCATGATTCATATAAATATAGACCGAATAACGCAGCATAAATGTATATAATTATTTATATTACTTTTACTAGTTTGTAAAATAGGTAAGCCAAGTCTATGATATATGTGTATCTTGTAGAAACGTATACGTATAATCTTTCATATACATTTTACCCTTGTATGAAGATGTGATAATAAAACAGACATGCAGATTTGAAGATAAAAACTGGTTGCATGGGTCACACAGACTTAGACTGTTTAATGTTGACATTATACCGAAATTAAAAAACTCCATGAATGACATTTTCCAACACTGTCTCTTTAACTAAAAGAGAGATTATCGTATAAGAACGTGCATGCGGCCAATATATATACTAAAAGCTGCTTTCTAATTAAGCTTGTCACCTGCGTTATGTTTTTATACGATGTGGGTTCAGGATTTTAAAATAGACGACGAAATTGGCAGATTCATAAACATTGTTAAAATCTTCGCCGAGTGTGTACATTTTGCCTACAACTTTGTCTGCTCTCATGCTGTTGGTGGCTGAGATGTTTGACACTTTCGCAAAGTAAACGCGTTGCCACTGTTTGCAAAATGTAACCGTAAAGTTGCCAGTCATACCAAACACACACAACCCAGAATATCGATATCTATACGATGTACACTCCTATATAGTCACCTGTTCGCTTATCAGTCCTTTCAGACAGAATATTTACTTTAGTTTAAGTGCATGACTAGAGTTATCTTGCCCACTAAACAGCAATTTTGAATACTACTTTTGGAAAAAGCTCAGGATAGTTTGGGTATACTACGCTATTTTATGACATCGGGTCTCCTTTCGAGGTATCGAAATATTCCGGGGTTTGTAGACATTAGCGTAGCTGTTAATTATAATATGAAGATTATGTTTAAAATTTTGTCGAAATTAAGAATGAATATATGTGCAGTATAACACTAAAAGTATTTTTCTACATCAAACAACAATTGAAGCACAATACACCGATAGATTGCCATGCAAGGAAAACTACGACAGTTTTGTCGACGATAAAATATGTCCTCTTAAAATGCGTACAGTTGTTCAACATATCTTGAAGTGCATTGAGAATTTATACTGCATGTGTCGGATTGCTGCACGACCATGTGCAAACACTTGGTCATGTACATATTGAACCACAGCTAAACAAAGGAGCAGCTTTAGTCTAGAATTTAGATTGCGTTCCGTTCCGTTCAAACTTTTCCGGTGTTTACATGCAGCTCAAGTCATTTGCACTATTGATTAAATATTTTTCAGGCTTGAAAGCCCCGCCGTCTTGGAAAGGTGGATTCGACTTCCCCTATTACACCGGTATTAAAGGCTCAACTCCAAATGTGACAATACAGGTGAATGCCAAATTACGTAGACGTAATATCACGAATGTGGTTGGAACAATTCTGGGCGAGGAAGAACCCGATAAGTGGGTACTTCTAGGAGCACATAGGGATGCTTGGGCTTTTGGTGCTGTGGATTCTTCTTGCGGGACCGCTGTAATAATGGAGATTGCTCGTGGCCTGAACGAATTGGTGAAATCAGGTGATTCTTATATTATGTCAAGTGATTTTCCAAGACTCAGTCTTGTGACTAAAGGCGCTGTTACACCGTGCAATTTTCCTTGCAACTTGCAACGCAATTATATTTTGAGGGATGCTAATTTATAAAGAGTGTTCGAAATGCTAAGAAAATGTTAGCAGATGGTGAGAAATGTTCGTATTTGACAACCTTAGATGTCTCAGGAGTAGAATTGAATTGCAATTTTGCAATGCTCTTCTACCTACGCTGACCCTGGTTAATAGGGCTGGTTATGTGACAGCGCAAAGTCTCTCAAAACATGGGAGATTTTTAATTAGCGCTTAGTTCATATCCAAGGGAGGGGTGGCAAGGTCGATATACCACTTCTGCTATTTTTAGCACTTGTGACAGTCCAGGTGGCTGTGTACTACTACTGCCGCAACTAAAAAAGCGGTTCACACAATAAACTAAATAAATACAGCTAGTATGGCGCAGTAAAAACTCCAAAGAACAATAAACCGAATTTAGATTTTAGATTCAAAGTGTATGTGTAGACTGTATATCATCATCGATGGTATCGTCACAAGTTCTGTTGACATTCAATACAGACACTCGAAGGCCTGTCTTGTCTTCTAAATTTGGGCGTTGATGAGCGAATTTAGAGGTCAAATAACAATAGCAACACAGATTATTTCGCTTTGTCGTATAACAGCACTCGATATTCAATCCTTAGAAACATGCTATTTTAACTGATGTGATTTATGCGCTACTTGTGTCCCACCCATCCCCACACGAGAAAAGCATAACAAAAGAATCACCTGACCAGCCTTAATCAGGGTCTTCGCTGCAGCGTGGGCCGTAGAGCGTAGGTAGAAGAACCTGGCCTGCGAGGTTGTTGGTACTTATGACTCATTGATTATTTTCACGAATATTTCTTCACAATGGTTACAATTACAACTACCAAATGGTAGATGTAACAATTAATTTATGAAATTTTAAAGGTTGGCGGCCAAGACGTACAATAAAGTTATGCAGTTGGGGAGCTGAAGAACAAGGCTTGATAGGTTCCATTGAATGGGTTGAACAACAGAGCAAGATTGTTAGAGAGAGAGCTGTAGCATACATTAATATTGATGCTGTTGTGAGAGGGAACTATAGTTTTGCTGCAAGAGGTGATCTTGACTATCATATAATTTAATTTTTCTCCTTTAGGAAATCATGCGATGTATATATTACTCGTGATGTTTCATAATTTTGCCAAAATTTATTGTTCGTAAAATTCGGGCTCGTCCCGGCAGCTGTCCAATTTTGACAAAATTTTCAATTTTTAACCCCCTATAACTTCAACATATATTACTGTATATTTGATAAGACGCCACGTACTATTTAGGAATTCCCATTTTTATCGAAAAAAAAAACACTATACAACTGTTTTAATTATCAAGGTCACAATGATCCTTTCAATCTACCTCCTGCATGATCATATAGTGCTATTAACAAACATCTTCATTTGCTGCAAAGATTGAAGGAAATCACTGTCCAATTCTTCTCGTTTCTTTTTTAAACAATACAATATTTTAAAATAACCTTGGAACCTGCTTCCTTCATTTGTACTTCTAGGAACACCATTGTTTAAAGAATTAATGTTCGAAGAGACAAAAAATGTGAAGGACCCAAGGGATGAGTCAAAGAAAGATGACTTGACGTTATACCAAAGATGGAAGAAGGACAGCAGCTTGCCGAAGTTTGGTCCCCTCGGATCTGGATCGGATTTTGTTCCATTTTACCAGTTTCTCGGTAAGACGTATTTCTAGCAATAAGTAAAAGACAAGAGTTGAATGGAACGGTAAATATTCTATAGATTACTAGACCAGGGGGCGGTTGTATAAAAGGGTAGTTAACTGTTAACTATGTTAAGGGCAGAATTTGCCAATCAGAGTTGTGTATTTCTGAGTTAACTAAAATTTAACTATGAAAAATCTGGTTAAAGAGTTTCGCTGGAATTCGCCGGATGACGTAAAGCTGCGTTCTACGATTTTCTCGAAAATGTATACAGCTAGTGATCGTACATCTGAGCGCGCAGAGCATGATGGAACCAAATGTTCTCACCCGGAGATATCTTCCACGCCTCTAAGAAATGGAGCGATTTGAATTTTTAACCTGATAAAATGCATATAAAACTTTTCAGAGAAAAGTTAAAAATATCCCTTATTTTACACACCTGCTATCGAAAAAAAACCCAACTATATACACGGGCAGTGTGTCAAGGTGATCCAACTTCAGTCAGGATTGCGTGCTGAAGTTGAATCACTTTCTTTGATCCAGCCTGTGTAGTAAGAAAAATTTATACTCAGTACTCAATACCTGTTAACTCTAATAATTGCAGGTAATTGACCGTAATTCTTCTAATACAAAAATTTAACCTTAGGTGTTCCTAGTGTGGCGTTCTATTACTCATTCAAATCCCTAAGTGTTACGACATACCCCGTATACCACTCAATACATGATACATTTCATTGGTTGGCAACGTTTGTCGATCCCAATTTCCTTATCCACCTTTCCATGTGCAAGCTGACAGCAAGACTACTACTGGGTATGTCAGATAAAAACATTTTCCCTATTGACGTCACACGTTATAGCAATGCGCTGCTGGAATCCGTAAAAACACTACATGACCAACAGGATGCAAAATTGAAAAGTAAAGGTATTTCAATCGCCAATATCGACAAGGCTATTGATGAGTTCAACAAAACAACCCATGCGTTTGAAAAACGTAAAAAATCCTTTAAATCCACCGATTTCTCTAAACTACGTGTTCTAAACAACCAAATGGTGAATTTAGAAAAAATCTTCATCAACCCATACGGCTTGCCCGGGCGCCCAGACACAAGGAATATCGTCTTTGCACCTTCTGTGACCAATAGTTATGGAAGCTCCAGTTTTCCTGGAATTTCTGACGAGCTTTCTAAGAAAAAAGTAAATTGGTTGGAAGTCAAGAAGCAGATTAATATTTTGTACAAGAGTATCAAGGAAGCTAATGAGTTCTTGCAACCAGTTTGGAAAGAGGAATAAAGATTTTTGTCTTATTTCACCTTAGAATCCATGATATTTAGATTGAATAGAGACAACTGATGTAACCGCTCGAACTGACTGCATAAAAATTTTACATTGGACTTTAGTTTGCTTTGCTCAACATATATTGGACAGCAGTTAAGTAGAGTTGCATTCTTTCATGAAAACAATGCATTTGAACACATAAAATCATAATTTTGATAAATTTCAAAATTTCAGGCAAATCGGCAACGGGGGAGCATTGGATCCTAATTTTCGTCGATTTTTGGAAATTTCAAAATTCGTTTCAAAATACGTCGAAATGCTTCAGAGTTAAGTAGAATTGCATTTCTTCATGAAAACAATGCATTTGAACACATAAAATCATATTTTTATAAACTTGAAAAATTGACGCAAATCAGCACGAAGAAAGAATCCTGATTTTCGTCGATTTTTGGAAATTTCAAAAATCGGTTTAAAATACGTCGAAATGCTTCAGAGTTAAGTAGAATTGCATTCTTTCATGAAAACAATACGCTCAAACAAATAAAATCGTACCTTGATGAATTTGAACATTTCAGAAAAATCCGTACCGGGGGAACAAAGGAAAGACGTCATACCAAAGATAGCAGAATCGGTGGATCGGATTTTGTTGAATTTATCTTTTATCATTTTTTTTGTTAAGATATATTTCTATCAATAAAGAGAAAGGTAATGTTAATAATATGTATGGATGAAAGCACAAATGTATTGGGAATATCTACCGTGAAATGGCGTGAATGCAAGAAATAGCCCGATTTAATGGAAGAAGAAGGAATTAGTTTTTGTGTTTGTTTACTTTAAAAACTATCATACTACTAATAGGGATTCAGCGTACATCAAACAGGTCAAGCAAAAATTCCCAAAGCTTAGCTTGGTTATAATTCGCCAAAGCAAAGTATCAATGCAGAATACTATTAATATATAGGGTAGACAACTGATGCAATCACTAAAAGTACATGTATGACTAAAAGTACATGTATGCATGAAGATTATAGATTGGACTTATAAATTGCGTTACTATAAACATATATATTGGACAGCAGGGTATTGCATGCAGCATTGCATGTACGATAAGATTTCAGTAGCATTCTTTTTGCAATTAAATACGTTGGCTCATGCAGAGAAAAAGTGCCTTTGGCTAAATTTGTTGATGTTTTAAATTTTCGTTCTCAGAACTACTTTTCTTTGTCGAAAGTACTTTGCTCGCTGTGATTTTCTATGTGCATGTAGGAAGTAATTTTCTCAATGCATGCAAGGTAGCTACCTTTGCTTTCTAGAAGGTATTTTTCTCTCATAAGTTTCCCTAGGAGGAGTTGGGGGAAACGATTTTTTTTTCAGTCCTAATGTGACGCGAAATTCCCAAAACCCCCACGCTGAAGAATATTCAGGAAGAACTATAATTAGTATTCATTATTTCCGATAACCTCTCCCATTGCGAGGCAGTGAAAGATCTTACAGACTTCCAACAACACCGTGAATGTGTTAATTTGATAATTCCAGGTCAATAGGATTAGAATTTGCCCCGATTATTCATGCACGAAACAGAGTAAACAATATTTTAATTCATCCAAGTCCGTATACCTGCAGGCAATGAAAGATTCTGCGACAATACACGTAAGCTAATGTCTTTGATAATTGCGAGAAAATAATATATCACTATACCATGCGTGCATGCATGCATGCATATATACTCAATTATTTACTATATATTTTAGCAAACAAAATATATACAGGACATGCGTGATTACAGAACAAAGGCGTGTTGGGGGGCTACTTTTTAAAAGGTCTGCTGCTGGGATAGATTTTCATATTTCTTGGCGGAAAACTTAATACAGTTTATTACGTAGACGTGGTATAAACACATGAAAATATAACAAACATTTTAGTACTATTATACCTAAACACGGAAGTCCCAGAATACAATAAAACCGTTGGACCGTTTTTCCTGCATGTGGCGAAAGAAAACCATATTCTTATACATTCCATCATCAAACCGGGATTTGTCTGGAAACCGGGATTTCGCGTAAAAATATCGTCTCCTCTGCATGGATAGATCATTCTTTCCTGTATTTACTTTTTTGGTAGATGCTATATAGAAGTGATCAAAGATGTCCCCCATTCTCCCTACATTCACTCCAATATGAAATACGACAAACGTGCATAGTTCCTCGTCAGTCTGAAAAGGCGGAGTTTTTCTTAAATGTTGATGACATACATGCAGTTATTTTTTTCTGTGCATGGGTCAGCCAAATGTCCATGTTTGAGAGTAAGCATCTCTCGTAGCATCCTCTTATATAGGAAAAGCTTATAGCCTGCATATAGTCTCAGTTTTTTGCCAAAATCAAATTGCCGGATGTGCTTGTATAATCTTACATCAACAAGATAACTGTGAAAACATGCAGTTTATACGCTTGGCAAGTCAATTTCCACCAACAGATACATCTAAACAGTTTACAATAATGCGCATTTAAGAACAATTTAAGAACAATTCATTGGCAGTATAGTCCTTCTCTAAGTTAATCTATTGTATTTCAGATCTATTTTCGTTTACAACTGTTGAAAGGCAAAGCATTTTTCCTGCATGTTATCCTGTCAGGGTATATGTTGCACCCTTCCTGAACGATAGACTACAATGCTACGCCAACGTAACGCTAGTCGGCGCTTGATAAACGCAGGTCAACAGGATCAGTATATAATTAACGTAAAACTCCATTACAAACTTCTAGAAATTTTACTAATCTAATTCCGGTCAGCAAAACCATTCACTATATAGTAAATGCTGCCTACCCCCAAACAAAACCAGTAATCGCGGGGCGTGTTTCTGTCTATAAATTATGGTAAACACAAGGCGTGTATCTATTTAATTATAACTAGCAGTAATCACAGATTAGTGATGTGCGTTTGGAATGTGTTGATTTCGGTTAACGATCATTAACAAAAATGTTAACATTAAACGTCACAGGCTCACAGCGTATGTGATGCAAAAGGTTACCCGCAAAATGAGCAATATACTGATGATTAATTAACAACAAAATGTCAAAATAGAGCGAGCACATAGTCTCCAGTTACTATGACGACACATCAGAACGAGGCAAATCTGACATCGCAAATCTCGATATGACACGGCTAGGAAGCGTTCTCCTTCGTCGAACGCAATTAGTTATTCATCCAAATAGCCGCGCGTGGTATATTGGTATAAGATTGGCAAAATGACTTTCAATCAATGTGCCTGGTGGCTCCAGCAAGATTACATGAGATTAATCATCGCAGTATATATAAAGGCATAGTGAATACTTCCTATTTATGATACATTTAACTAATGGGGCGTTTTTACTGCCGTCTGAAAAGCTCTTACTTATGGAAGGCAGACGAGAGGTTTACAGACTATTTTGTTGAATTTATGCGCGTTGCATATGTTCGCGAAATTACAATTTTAATTTGCTTGACGATGGCAGTATAGTTATAACAAAGCGAGTCCATGACACATTTCCACCCATGGAATGGGATATGCTAGTTCGAACCAAACACTAGCTCCCGCTAAGTTCTAAGAAACGGGGATCTATTGTATTAAGGCCTGCTTATCACTGGCTCCTAAGAATCGGGGATCCATCGTATTATATAGTCATTTTCCGATAGACAAAGCATTTTGCGCACCAGTGACCTTAGACAAAGAGAATCCCAGATTCTCAGGATAAGTGTGAGTTTTTCACTATAGTGCGCAAAATGTCTGTCGGAAAATCAATACAAGGATAACCGATTCTTATAGGAGCAAGTGTGAATCAGGCTTATTCACACTTGTCGTGAGAATCTGGGATTCCCTTTTCTCTGAGGTCATATAGTGTGAACCAGGCCTTAAAATAAGGAATTCCGGCAAATCAAGAATGATTAAATGTTTAATACTCCTTTTAAAATATTGTCTATTAAATCCTATATAACAGATATATAAATATATAATTACCAAAAGTACCGGGATATGGTGTAGATCCATAGTTATATTCCATCGAGTACAAGAAAGTTAGGAGTTGGAAACTAACTCTATACTTTGTATTGTGATACTACAGTACGTGCATGGTGTAAAGCACACATCAAATTTTTAAAATTAAGTTAAAAAATGTTGGTACGAACATCCTGATGGAATAAAAAAAGCAATCATGCATGCATGCACGTACGCACGTATCATCCTAAATGAACAACCGCATGTGACACGCCTTTTCGACGCAAACGCGCGGGAACATCAAAAGGAACACTGCGCAGTGCGAGAAGGAACTATTAAACCGTTGACATTGGAAAAAAATCCCGTATCGTGCATGCAAATATAAATGGCGTGAAAAATCTTGTTACGTATCAGAATTCTAAAATTTCTTGTATAAACATAAGAGTCAAAACTATACTGGTTGTTTCATATATACGACTTTGTTTTTTGTGCATGCATGCATGGTAAAACTGCTGTGTAATTTGAGAGGGGAAGAGCCGGTTCAAGCTGTACTTCTTTGACGTGCATCGTCTTAAGGTATCGCGAGTTAAGACATATAACGGCATTACTGCGTGTGTGAAATTCTTACGAAGATTTTAAAAAATCGACCAATAAATTCCGAAGTTGTGATTGAGAGGGAAAGAGTATACTTAAGCCGTTTCCCCTAAGCCTGTTTGCTGCTAGCGACAAAAATCGACAAATACATCCTAAGTGTGTTCCTTTGTGTGCTAGCTATCTTAAAGGAGTATCATCGTGTGCCTTACAACAACACCAGCTACGTGTGTGGAAATCTATAAAAAATCGACAGATACATCGCGAAGTTGTGATTGAGAGAGAAAGAGCACGCAATTAAGCAGTTCTTCCTAAGTATGTTGGCTTAAGAGTATCGTGTTTAACAGTTTAAGCCTTATAACAACCTACACTATGAGTGTGGACATTGTTAAAGAAATCATTAAATGCTATAAAAAATCGACAGATACATCGCAAAGTTGTGATTGAGAGAGAAAGAGTACGCAATTAAGCAGTTCTTCCTAAGTAATAAGTATGTTGGCTTAAGAGTATCGTGTTTAACAGTTTAAGCCTTATAACAACCTACACTATGAGTGTGGACATTGCTAAAGAAATCATTAAATGCTATAAAAAAATCGACAGATACATCCCAAATTTGAAACGAGAGAGAGAAATAGTGCAGTTAAGCCGTTCCTCCTAAGTGTGTTAGCTTAAAAGTATCGTGTTTAAGCCTTATAACAACAAGCACGACCTGAATATTGTTATACAGAAATTATTAAAAGCTATTAAAAACCAAATATGTCCAAAGTTGTGACTGGGAGAGAAAGAGTGTTTAAGCCGTTCTTCCTAAGCGTGTTGGCTTAAGAGCATCGTGTTTAAGTCTTATAACAACATGCACTACGTGGGTGATCGTAAAACCTTGTTACAGAAATTATTAAATGCTATAAAAGTTATATTGTTTAGTAGTGCTGATAGGTTTCTATTAGTCATATTTACAATCAATCAGTCAATCACAGATACAGCACATAGTCACTATTTCACATCTCAAATGAAACAATCGCCCACTGTAGTCTACACTCTCGAATATGCACGAGTCATACATGGCAGTAACATGAAAATTTTTTATTGCCCGAGAGCAAATACGGAGAGCTCCATTAGCAATGGCATAGGGCCCAAAACCATTATGATCTAATGATAATCTTTTAGTCAGTCATTCTCGAAACTCATTAGCCAAAATAAATGGAATAAGCTTATGTGGAATTTCATAAAAACTGGTGGTGTAACATTTTAAACGAAGGCAATCAAAATTGCAACTAAGCTTGACATGCATTAACATTTCATAAATGCCTATGATTTATTGTTGCTTTGACAAGATGCTACTTCTGACATTTACCAGTCTTGCTAGAACCTACGTAAACGTTTAGAGAGCTAAATTCTTAA